TTTAGTAGATCTTACAATTCAAGTTAGACCGATTTACAGAAGAGTATTGTTATCTTGACTTGACAATTTGTGAGTGAAAGAAAACTCCAATTAATGAAGAATGAGGAAGAGTTAATTGGAAGAAGAGCTTTCTTCCTCAATTAACACCTTTTGACAAACTATTTTGAGATCGTTCTCTTTCATATGGGGTATGAAGAGATAAAAATGTTGATCCGGTGAGATGGCATTTAGCGTAATTGAATCTCAAAATATTCTTCACATGAGGTAGTTCACATGAGAACTTGTTTTTTAATGGCTCAAACATCACTGCACAAATATTATTTCAAAAAAAAAAATCTAATATTAACTGAATTCTTTATGAGTTTCAACAACAATTCATTGTTTCATCCACTATGTTGCTTCAAAGAAGTTAAACTACTTATGAGTTATGATACATATATACATAAATATCAAGAGAACGATATAAATGTCATAGTGAGGATGAATCATATTTTAATTAAAAGGCCACTTTTTATCCAAAGCCATACAATTGGTTTTCTAAAAATCAAAACTTTCAACCACACAACAACAATACCAAGAAACCCAAGCAGACTATATAACTTTTCCGATGGATTCTTCTCCTTTTTCTTAAAAAAAGAACATTAAACAAATCATGTACCTACAAAACGAAGGCTCGATATATCCAAATTCCAATCCAACAAACTAAAAAGTGAAAGCAATAAAAAAGAAAACTATGAAAAGTAACCATACCATTTTTTTAAAGATGGAGTCTTCTTTTTGAAGCAAAAATAATGAAAACAAAAAATAAAACAGAGAAAAGCATAGGAAACAAAATAGATCGATTAATAGATGTACTTTCTTGAAGAACACAACCTCCACGCATCACACAAACCAAAAGAACTTTTCTTGAAAACACTTTTTTAAAAAATCACAATTGATCAGATAGGGAATATCATGCATATGAACAAAAACAACAAACGAACTACTGAATAAAAAGTAATAAAAAAAAGAAGAGGTCGAGACTAATAAAAAGA